TATGGGTTATGTTAACGTTCATGTTAACTGGGGTAGGGTGGGGTGGGGCATGTAGACGTTCATGTGGGCTTGCGTGAGATGTTGATGCTATGGGTCATGTTAACGTTCATGTTAACTGGGGTAGGGTGGGGTGGGGTGGGGTGGGGCATGTTAACGTTCATGTTAACTGGGGTGGGGTGGGGTGGGGTGGGTCGTGTTAAGGTTCCTGTGCACTTGCATTCATTTGTACACATTCGGCGCATTGCAGATTATCCAGACTCTTTGGATTGTATCTACATTTCATGTCTCCCCACTCCATCAACTAATCATGGAAGTTGAACACCACCTCTTTGTCGAGGAAAATACTAACCCCTCCAGCTTGTTGTACCTGTTGATCCTGTTGAAGAAGAACACCATCGGTCACCATCGTTTACACTGATGGCAACATCAGTTGGGAGACCGTTTCCGCGAGCACCGCAAGAAACATCTGAAGGTTAGATCAGTTAGACCTGTTGTCCACTCCAAAAGCGAATGGAGCAAGCCTGTGAGGGTTGCACAGCGTCGTCGCCTCGCTGGTTCACAGCAGATTGACAATGTTACAGATGTTGGTACCATCTGAAAAAGTGTTTGCCGACACAGATGAAGACACGTCAGGGTGAAACCCTGAAATTGAAAGACCTGGGAGAGAATCTTTCAATGGATCTATCGGCATAATTCCAGAGTATGACACCGCAACCAGTCGAAGCAGAAAAATGACCGCTTGACAACTTTTCGTCGTCCGTCGCGCAATTCCATGTTTTTACAACGTGCTCGAAACGCTGGCGATTTACTCACCCACGATCAGCACAAACGCACAGCAGCGAAAAGCCGTGCTACCTTTTATGGATTGGTTTCCCTACTCAACATGAACAAGTGAAAACAGCTAACTATGCTTAACCATCATTTTCCTAACTGAAGGAGTCAGGGTTGCATACCGGTTTGCTCGAAAGATTGTGGAAGAGACGCGGAGAAGAGGACATAAAGAAGAACGATGCGGAGGTTTCTTCCCAAAAGCATCTCCGATGCGTGAATTCTCGTTTGGTTTGCTAACCGGGAGGGAGCGAGCGGTGCGACAACCACCGATGCATGTGTTCCTTTGGAGGCCGTCTTGGCCTCCACGAGCTCCCATGCCTATGGCCGGCCTGAAGATCGCAGATGCTGCCCCAGATGCAAAATACTTGGATGCTCCAGATCAAATTGAACGTGTTTGGAACGTCTCAGTGTCACTGAAAATAGTTTGTGGTGTTTGCTTTTGGGTTCCCGGGCCTTTTTTGAAAAATGACCAACAAAGATAAATCTTCCACCTGAAACTTCCAACAGGCGTTTCTGGTATAGACAGGTGTCCAGGTCACCGCCTCTGTTAACGTCCTCACACCACCTGTTGGAAGGTCCTGGCAGGGTAAAAGTGTTTCTGGTAGAAGATGAACGGACACTTCCAATTGGGGACCCTCACTGCCAGGCATTTCAGCTGCTATGTGATCATCCTTTGCGATTTCAGGCGGGATCGGTTCATGGAAGTCTTGAGAACTTTTCGGTTGTTGGTTCGAAGGTTTTTGCTTGGCAGTGTATTTGTTAGGTCAATTCGGTTTCAGATTTCCACACGGGCCGACTGCAAATAGAGCCAATCGTCGATTAAACAAATGCAGTTGGACTGGATCCACTTAGTGAACCCAGTGCCAAGCACGTTGAAAAAGTTCCACAATGATTCACAACAGTTCATGATTCAGGACTCGTACACCGCATTCTTGCGATACAACGATAGTTGTAGTTCAATACACCAAGGGGGTTCCTTCTCACGGCTTCTCTCATTGAAGAATTGTTAAGTTGGGACTCAGTAAGTGCACCGATAGTTGGAATTCAATAGTACCAATCAACTCTCACATGCTCAGGTTTCTCCCATCGACGTCTGTGGAGACTGGACTTTCTTTCCACCGCAGCCGACCCTTCTTTGCAGGACATCACCCCTGAGTGGTTCTCCTCTGCCGAGCCAGCTGGCCAAGAATGCCTTGATCGAACGAGACCGGAGTCATCGTAAACCCCAGGGTGGAAAGGGAAAAACATCCCGGAGGTATTGAAGGCATGGTTGGGTTGAAGATAGCAAGGTCTTGAGGAGGTGGGGAATTGTTGTCAGGTTCTGTTTTAGGATGCCTTCCATTTGCTTGAGGGATCCACGCCAGCTTTAGCCAAGAGACGAGTGGGGGAAACTATAGAGTTGGAATGAGGCGAAGCTCCTGGTTTGGAAACTAAACGGGTTTCAGACATGATGATGATGATGATGTTGATGATGATGATGATGCTGATGAATTTGCTTGGGGGGAGCTCCCTGGGGTGATCATCGACGTTGGTTGATTGGTTGGGTGCACGTGATCAAAGCTCCCTGCGGCTTTCTGTGACCTGGAATCAGTCCTTTTCCTTCAAGGCTATGGCATGAACTGCTGGATCCACGGGCAATGGAACTGTTCAATACCTTCCTTGCCACACAATTCATGGGACTGGAGGCCCTAAGGGTCCAGCACCATCCGAATCGGACGTCCTTTGGCCACAAAGACCATTCTCAGGAAGTACGAACTCACCTCCAAGACCATCCAAAAAGGAGGTACCTGGACCCTATGGGAGGATCAAGGGGTACATCTTCCAGTCCCTTGGCTTGTAGGAGCCCGATGTTCCATGTCTCTGGAGTTCAGTCATGCACATGCACATGCTTTCCGAACAACCCTCAGCATCCGGACGTACCCCAAACGCCTGTTGTTTGGAGCCAACTAGATCAACTAGCCTTGCCATTTCTGCCTCTTCGTCACCCTCCCCTGGCGTGGGCCGTCCTCGTCCGCGCGGGTTTCTCGTCGCATGAGCCGACGCTCACGCCAGCCTCTCACGAGGCATCCCACCTTCGAAGTGTCCAAGACGGGCTCGCTTTGGCGTGTGAACTTCAACGAGAGGACTCGCGACTCCTGGCGCCACTGGCCCCTTGGCAGCGCAAAGAAAACCGTCAAGCGGTTTTGGAACGGGACACCAACAAGTCAAGCGCCTCGAGATGTGGCTGGGCGCGTGTTTTTTGGCGCCCAGAAAGTCTGTGGAGTGGTCGCAGGGGTTGGGGAAAGACCGAGGATCTTTTGGGGGATGGGGACGAGTGATATCCAGGATCTAATGTATCTAGATGTCTTGATTGAAGAGGATTTGCAATTTATTTGAAAAACAAAACAGTTTACAAAATCCAGAGTGGCAGCATGCCAGCTCCTGTTGTGTCTCACACAAACCTCTCCCATGCGGCAGAGAGCCCGAGTACACAGCCGCTTTAAGGTGCGACCCTTCTCCTGAGCCAGGTAGTAAGTTGATGGAATTATATAACTATTAAAATATATATATATAGTCACATAATTTACTTTAAAAAATGACTGACAACGATGGAAAGTCAAAGATGAGAAAATGATTAAAAGACGTTTTACCAGCACACTGAAACATCCATTTCCAAGCACTCCATCAGATTGTTATACTTGTGCCCTAGCCTTCCAACCACCATTAATGGTTCTTACAGAACATCCGTTTTCATTTACTATCTCGGGATGTGAAACACTACACCAGGTCACCAGGTCAACCGACCTCTTTGAAGGCTCTTTCGGCTTGTACGTGTGCGTATGCTCATCGTATGATCAAAACCGGCCTGGAACCGGTCACTGGATCATGGAAATTGAAGAGCCTGAATCCGGAACCACTTGTTGTGTTTACGGATTGAACACCCTGCAAAACCAGGAATAACAATGAAAAGACGGTATTGTCACACTGCAAAACCAGGGGTAACCATTCGAAAAGCACACACATGGTCTTGGAAGGCCTTCAGAGTTTTGAACGTTCGACGGTTTTCCGTCAGTTCGACAGACTCCGACCACTCTCCGTCTCTAACTCGACCACGTCACGCTCCCCCAGCCAGCCTTGAGGCATCCGGAAGACTTGCATGTGAGTGCGCGGGTCTATGAGGTGCGCCGGGTCGCTGGCGCGGGGCGTTGCTACGTCCGGCAGCAACGATGCGAATCGCGGTAGGTCGGGTCCGACGAAGCAAGTCACCCGGTGGTTGGAGTCGGACCCGGTTATCTGTTACCTCAAAACAAAGGACCCAAGGGACCCAAGGGACGACCCTGTCCCTTCGCAAGCCACGATGTTTCATGAGAAAACAACCATGTTGCTGAAGTAATGCCAACTTACTTTGGAGCATGTGAAACATCATGTTCGTGCATCTGTTGTGTTGTGTGATTGTCCCTTATTCCAATTGAGGTATCAACCTGTTTCTTACGGGGTTTGTGTCATGTGTTTGGATTCACCACCCTGAGCATGCGATAGCAGTTACATAGTTTTGCCACGTTTTGCCCCAAGATTCGTTTGCGCATTCGTGTTCACACAAGGTTGCATGGCGCAACTCGGGCTACGACCCAAACCCCAAAAGAAGGATGGTTCAGTGGGGGGATCACCAGCAGTTCAGTACCAGCAGGTGGAACAGGGGTGACTGGTCGACTGGTCCCATCCAGTGAGTGGTTGGTCCCATCCAGATCCAGCACCCCAAACCTCCGATGGGCACATGGAACAGATGGGCTAAGGCGGCGAAGGGATGTGCATCCCCAAACCACGAGTACCAAGGAACTACTGTAGGGATTCGTTCTGTTCGGTCGAACTGGTGTTCGTCTTTGAAACCACTGGGACTCCCGGGCGCCCTGGGATGTGAAAGACCAGGTGTTTGACCCACGCCGAAGCCCAGAGGCCTTGCAGAAATTCGAGAAGCTCGTGGAAGCAGCATGGCAGCACCACGGGTCGACCTGTTCAAGTCAAACGACACACCAAACTGAAGGTCAAGTGATGTGAGGAAGTACTGAATCCATTTAGATTTTTATCGGAGATGAGGCAACCAGTAGCCCAGCTAGCCCAGCATCAGCCAAACCCAAGCTTCAGCCTCAGCATCTACCATTTGATTCTGTTTCATGTTCTTTGACTTTCACTCGCTTTGAGGTCAGAGATCGCAAAATAAACATGTGCTCCCAAAACCCACGGCCCACCCACAGGCCGCATTGTCCCACTTCACCAGCTCCAGCGACTCCTGCCCAGCGACTCCTATACTATTCGTCCCTCCACTCACCCCGTTTGTCACAACCCTCTGAACCCGACGCCACGATGCCTTTGAACCGGTCAGGAGCGTGCGCGCTATGCGGCGCTGCGCTTGAAGCCCGGCGAGATGGTCTGCACCGACAACTGGCGCGTGATGCACTCGCGCTCCGGCTTCGTCGGCTCCAGGCAGAGCAAGGAGCATGACTCGGACACAGCCGAAGACGTGACACGGAAAGCGGAAACAGGGTGCTTCCGAAATGGGGATGCCATTGTCCCATCCACTTAACATGTAACCATGATTTGGGAGACGGAACTGCTTAAATGCCTCTCGCATGTCGACTTGTGACCATTTGAGGCATGTCGACATTGGATGACTTTGGGGAATCAGTATACTCATGTATACTCCCAATAAGACTGCAGCAACAGTCTTGGCGCAGCAACTTGCGCAGCCCGATTTCGTTGCTTTTTGGACCCAAAACTTCTCCACCCCCAGCTGGGCAACAAAAACACCTGCACCTTCCTCCACGTCCTGAACTTCTCCACCTGCCCGCTAGAACTGAAACACACGGTGCGCGCGACCTCAGTGCTGTTTCGGTGCTGTGCCAGTGCTGCGGTAGGCACTTTGTCGGTGCTTACTTCGACTGGGATGCCCTGCATGCTCGCTGGCGACACTTCGCCAAGACCTTGGAGCATCAGTGGGATCTGAGGCAACTTGGAACGGTCGTCACGCGCGAGGCAAGGTCGTGCAAAGTCGATCACCTGGTCTGTTGAGGAGAACGGTGGAATCACGGTGGTCGATTTTTTGTTCTGTGTGCGTTTGCAGTTTGCAGATGTTTGCTGCTTTCTTGTGTCTATTAATTTTTTGGGGGGGTGTATTGATGGGCCTTAGTGCATGCGAGGCGTCTTAAATCTTAATGTTCAAAGCTATAGTAGGCCAGCCGGTTTCGCCGGTTGTGCAGACTAATCCGGACTAATCCAAGTGCAAACTCTTCTTCCTTGCGTCGAACCACCGCTTTGCACCAGTCCTTTTAGGTGCCTTGGTCTTTCTCTGGAGGGTGGCGCGTCGCAACGAAAGCCCAGGTAGCTCAGTGAAGCGCTGATCAGCATGCCGACGTACGGGACTGGAACCGGTGCTTGCTGAACGCGTGGTTCACGAGTGCCGGTGGAGGATCACTGTACTGTATTGTAATTATCCTACCTGCAAAGGGGAAACTGGTTGGATTTGGCAGTGAATTCAAAGCCTTGTGACATCAGCTGAATGGTTGGAGATGACCACCTAACTCTCTTTCGAGCTAAGCTAGACTGCTAGACCGCTCTTTTGTCATTCAAGACAATTGGGTACCCGGTCATTGGGTAGCTCATCAACTATGCTGAAAGCCCATATTCATGGAGCAACACATTAAAAAAAATAGAACAACTATGAAACAAATTATTTATCATTAAAACAAATTATTTAACATTAAAAAATAAAACACATACTGCAAGAAACAGCAGCAACATTGCACCCATGGACTCACTCCACTCCTGTTTTCCAAAGAGGTGACAGGTCTGTATGTCAGGTCTTTCTGCCATACTTTGCCTTTACCGGCAAATCAGACACAATGGCATCCAAATCTTCCAGGGTTTCAAACAAACCACTTGACTCATGGAAAGGCCTTTTCACAAAAACATCTACACCACAACTACATGAATCTTTGACCAGCTTTTATGCATATCACTTGGGATCAGCACCAAGTGTCCTTTGTTTCTTGCTCTTCTTCTCTTTGCCCATGGCTTATGAGCCAACTTGAAAGTCAGACTTGCCAGGGGTTCAGCCCAAATGGCTTCAGTCAGTTGAAGCAGCACAGGCATGAAACCTGTTGAACCAACCCTTGAAACACACTCTTACCTTAATTATCTCCTCAATTCTCCCTAATGTTTTCTAATGTTCTGTAATGTTTCCTAATGTTCTGTAATGTTTTCCAATGTTTACCTAATGGTTTTTTATTTTTGTAAAAGGTGTTTCAATTTGTTGACAGTTTTGATGACCCTTCATGAACCCACCCCTGATGAGACTCCCTGTTCGAAAGATGTTGGTTTTCGGATGCTTTCGGCGAACTGTGTAAGACGAGACCTTGGCCAACGAACCACGGTCTTTAACCCCAGGACCCACCAAAACTACTGGGTCGGGACCAGGACCAACGAAGTTTAACCTGCCTCCGCTTGGGAGCGGCCAGACGTGTCGGTCCTAGTGCTCTTTCGCAGTTCTGCTCCCGAACAATCCATGGGACTGGAAGATTTACCATGAATCCTTCAAACATCTTGAAACCATCCATCTTCAACGGCCAATAGTTCCATGATGTCTCATGGGTTTCTTTCGGGGTCTGGCCAAAGAGCCGAAACAGATGATCTGGGCCAACCCGGGGCACGGACGTCCGGCTGGCGAAATGGGTGGTGAGTCAGCGTCGACGAGCACGGCGACCTTTGGACCCGGGGGCGAAAGAACAGGAATCCTATTGCTACAGTATATATAAGGTACATTGCTAGACATATTGCTACAAGTGCACAGGCTGTAGGCTATAGGTGTTTGAAACATCTGTAAATGGCGGCTGTTTTTTGGCATCAAAGGCCCTTGTGTGCGTGCTGAACTTGCCCGTGTGGTCTTTGCAGATGAACTCAGGTCCCGTTGGCCTTGTTTTCCTCGTCCAGAGACTCCAGTGGTGCATTCGGATCCTGAAAACATGCCACCCCGCCGTCCAGACCTGAGTGACTGTGTTCACCACTAGAAAATCACCAAAACCGATTTCGGGTATAGGTTGCGGTAGTTTCCTTGAGGAGACAAAGGATTAGAACATGAAGTGGTTCAGCCTATGACCACCCTTGGGATAACTGGTAGTGTTTTTTGGGGATTTTGGAATGTGAGAGAAGTTTGGTTCCTTCTCTTGATCCAAATTGGACATGATTCTCCTTAAGTCTTCGTTTCAAAAGGAGACAACTCCGTATTCCTACCCAGTCAGTGGACAACCTTTATCATCCTTTATAACCTTGTTTCTGGATTGGATGGAATTGGTACTAAACAAGAACATGCACGTGGAAAGTTTGGTTTACCTTTGCACGTGATAATGTTCACTCCAAATTGAAATGATCAATCTTTGGGGAAGTGGGGTGACAAAAAGCACTCGGGAGTGAGAATAGTTGCTCCAGAAATCTCCAGAATGGTTTCTGTTGCAAAGCGAACGTATCTTGAACGCGAAGCGAACGTTAATTGAACGCAATCTGAACGCAATTACGGTTGGACGGATTTTTATCCACTCCTGAGTGCTTTTTGTCACACCACTTTCCAAATAGATTGATGATATCAAAATGGAGTGATAATTATCACTCTTCAGGGTTACCAGGTACTGAATAAAGGTAAACCAAACTTTCCACGTGCATGTTCTTTTGTCACACCACTACCAGGTATGGTTTAACCTTTTAAGGGGGGGAATGGACTTCTTCAGGTGCTAAATTCGGTCCTGTGTCGGTCAAGACGCGCGATCCACTTCTCGCCAATTGCAGCTGCTTCAGCTCCCTTCCTGCCACGTCCCGAACTCGGCCATGCCACAGATGGCCACCAACGTGCAACGACACATCAAGACCACTCGTCCTGTGAGTAGCTTCGGGTTTCAAGATATTGAGTGATGATTTTCCGATGTTTGGTACAAAAGTCTTGTGACTTTCGAATGCAAACTCACATGGTCGGGTCCATTCGTCGGGTCCATTCGGGTTTGGTTCTTCCGTGTGTTCCCAACGATGGAAAGGATCGTTTCGGATCAGTTCCCCTCAGTTCCAATCCTTTTGGGGGCGAACAACGTCGGTCGAGAACCAACCGCTTGCTATGAGATCCGGAGATCCAATCCATGGATTGGAGAAATATTTACGCTACCATGGATGGGGTCATTTTTACGGGGTTAATGGTATGTACTGTAACTCTTCCAGTCCCATGGATGGTCATCAAGATTCGTTTGATGCAAAAGGAAACTCCTGCAAGAGTTTGTCACGGCAAGATGTCGTCCGTCAAAGGTGGTAGAGCTTTCAGTACCAAGATCTCAAAGTTGTTGCCATTGTTTGCGTCACTGGCGACCAGGGAGGGGAACAAATACAGGTCTTGCCACGTCAGAGGTCGGAATTCCGCTGGGAAAACCGGATTCAAAGGCAAAGCAAAGCTTGAGAAGGGTGTGTTTTTGAAAGGGGCGACCGCCAACCAAGAAGGGCGGACTGGTCTATTCCCCTTGATCTCTCAATTTTTATACATACCCATAAATATATCTTGCCATGCTTTCTTTGAGAACTGTGATGAAGCGCCAGTTTCCAGAAGAAGTCCTTCCCTTCCATGGCAGCTTATCCAAGCATCTAGCCCCACCGCTCAAGAAATAGCACGTCCGAGTTCGAAGCCACGGAAAACGCGCGGGCGCCCTTTGGTCATCCCTTTTGCGACCGAAGCCTCTGGGGTTTGGAACTCCCAGAGCACAGAGACCGAGATGTGCAATTCTTGGAGTTCAAAAGAAGATCCGCAGAGATCCGCAGATGCAGGGAGTCCGGAAAGATGTAGTGGGTGGTGTCCAGAAGGGGAGCAAAAAATGCCCAAGCCTGGATATAGGGAAGTGCTACTTGTATAGAGTCTCAGAAGTATATCATGTCCATGAGAGTTCAGCTCCAGTCGTTCAGGTTTGGTTTGTGAGGACTGTGAGAGAACATTGGTCATGTCGGTACCTTCTGTTTGGTGTCACCCATGGACTACCCCGGAGGGCTCCTGTCCCACATCCGAAAAGGAGGTAGGTAGGCATTGACCCATTGATCTTACACCCACACAAAACACGCCTGAGGATGAGGTTCTTACACTATACTTGTGGATATCCATGAGATCGACTGTAAACCTCCAATACCTCACACATGTTCCTCAATCTTCCAAAACCCCACCCACTTCAAGTGTACACTTTAAGTGTAGAAGAGGAAGAACATGTGGGAGGTCTAGCTGAGAGGTCGTCGCCTCTCTTTGAGAGGGCCGAATTGGAAAAGCATGGAAGAGCAAATCATACCTAGATCATCCTAGATCCTACTGTGCAACATGCGCGCTTTTTCATTTGTAAAGCCAGCCCAAAGTTAAGTTAAGCAGACATGTTGCATACTTGGAAGATCTAGGTGTGGCTGTAGGTCCAAACCTCTACTCTTCCCTGTCAGCTCGGTCCCTTCGGTCCACTTCGACTAGTCGACTAGTCGACTACGGTCTGACTCTGTGACCCCGGTCGGAAGAGCTGCCATGGTGCGTGAGCTCCATCTCATGGAAGCT